CTCTCTCTCTCACACACACACACACACACACACACACACACACACACACACACACACACACACACACACACACACACACACACACACACTGTTACATCTTCGACGCCACACGGGTCCTACCGGACCCGACTTAGGGTTAGAGGGACACAGTAGGGCCTAAAGGCCCGACCTTGGGGGTACTACAGGCCGTACAGGCCTCAGCTTGGACCAGACCCGGCGGGCAGGCCCAAACGACATTACCGTTTGGGCCTGGCGGCGCTCTTGAGGCTGCCGCCCGCCGGTTGGGGCTGAACCGTCCATCTGGACGGTTCAGGGCACGGCCAGGCCTCGCAGCATAGAGGCCGGCCTCTGCCCCACCGGTACAAAAGTACCGGTCCAGCCTCATTCAGGCTATCGAACCACCGGCAGTCTACGCGGTGTGTTAAGGTCTAGCGCCAGAGCGCTAGCGCTAAGTTTAGCGCAAGACACGAAAAGCAGCGCAGCAGCGGCGACTGAGCAAGATCGGCGGCCATAGCCGCCTGAGGTATTGGGAGCCGGAGGTTCTCTCCTCCCTCCCGTCGTCAGTCCCCTCTCTCTCCCTCTCCTCCTCGACTCTCTTCTTCTTCTTCTTCAGACTTCTTCTTCTTCTTCTTCAGACTTCTTCTTCTTCTTCTTCTTAAGACTTCTTCTTCTTCTTCTTCAGATTGGATAGACAGGGATCAGTGTTGGACTTTGGTGGTATGAGACTGTGGTACTTACCGGATTTGAGACTTGGAGATTGTTGGGGTTGATACTCAGCGGCATCACAGTTCGGACACCGGTTACATTTGGACTCTGTATCTCCGACATTGGTGACTTATTGTCCTCGACATTTTGATCTCGTTTGATGACATTTTGGACTACCATATCGGTGACTATCGGATTCTATTTCGGTGACCTCCGGTGCTGTCTACCTCCCCCACTTCCTTCGTCTCTCCTCCCACCTTTCATCTGTGTATGTGTGTACGCGATCTGGGCATCGTCTATGCTTGGCCCAGACCCCACCATCTCACGATTGTATGTGTGTGGAGTGATATCTATGTGAGTCAGTCTATGTGAGTCAGTCCGTTTATCAGACTTCCGCTGCATATATGCTCATCCTACATTGGTTGATCTTTGGTTCTGCCCATACTCATTGAAGTATGTAACAGTTTTGGTATCGGAGCAGACCATTTCACGGATCTGCTCACCAGGTAAGTCTGATTAGGAATTAGATTGCTTCTTCAATCTTCCAAATCAGCTCTGTATTACTATCAAGTTCAAAGTTGCAATTTTTTTTTTCTTTTTTCGGTATTCTGTTTATTTCGGCATTTCCGTTTCAATTCGGTATTCGGACTTGTAATTCGGATTTCTGTTTTACTCCGGTATGCTGTTTAATTTGAGTTCCGATAAATTGATACTAATCTGACATGCTGTTTAATTCGGATTTCTGATTATTGATTCGTGATTAGGTTGAAATCAGTACTCTGTTTAACTAGGCATTCTGATTTTCAATTCGGTTTCCGTTTTAATAATTCAGCATTCTGATTTTATTCCGATATTTCGTTTTCTAAATCGGCATTTCCGTTTTATTGCAGTAGTGGAAATTAGGGTTACAAAAATTTTGGTTTTGATCAACTTGGGAAATTCGAACGTTTTGGAACCGTAAATCCGGAAATTCCGCCGAAACGCGGAAAATTAGGGTTGGGCCCGAAATTTTTGCGAAAAATTTTTCCTTTCCCTTGTTTGAGAAATTCCGAAAACGGGTTTAGGCCTTTAAAAATCGGATTTTGACGGTGGAAATTCCCGAAATTTCACGTTTTTGAAAATACGAGTGTTTTTCTCCGGATTTTTTTCCGAAATTTTTTTTTGGCAAACTAATCCGAATCTGACCCTCAAACTTGCAACTTCCGGGTAGTTCACTAATTAACGGTGAACTCCCGGACTAAAGATGATCTCAACGGATACCTGATCTTGATAACAATTCAAATTCGTTCATTATCATTATTGCAAATATTGTTTTAATTGATTATCATTAATAAATCATTATTGCAAATATTGTTTATTGATTATCATTAAGAATTATTATTTCGTATTAATCATTAATTAAACTTATTGATTGAATAATTCGTTATTATTTTTCTTATTACGAATTTTTTCGAATTGTTTACGGGAAAAATGATTTTCTTCTGTTTGATTAGGTGTCTAAGTCCATCAGTAGGGACAGGGACTGTATGTATATTGCTTGATCTGTTCTATCCCTGTACCCACCCTCTCCCTCACACTGTCCTGCGACCTTCGGACGAGCGAGCCTCCCGCAGCAGTTCTGATGCCAGCAGGGCAAGCCTCCGAACAGCAGCCACAACGCAGCAAAAGGATCGCAGATCTCCAACAACAACAGCCACCTGCAGATCGACAGCAGCCACAGACCAGCACTCAGATGGCGGACACGCCAAACAGCGGACCGTCATCTGAAAGTTCGACATCTGGCAATGCCGAACCCTTACCGGTCTGTCCGGTGCAAGAGCCGAATGAGTCCCTCCCGGACCTCATTCAGAGAGTGCAGGACTATACAGCCGCACTCACCCTTGCCAAAGAACGGCAAGAGGCTGCCAAAGCAGAGAGTCTACGGCTAGCAGCAGAAGCTGCAGCCGAAGCCCAGCGTCAAGCTGAGGCAGACCAGTTGGCGACCGATCAGCTCAACGCCGACAGCGCTGAACTTCTGCTTTCTAGCCAAGAGCAGTGGACAGCGGTCCTCAACGGGATGCGTTATGTTCCCGTAGCCGGCACCGAGCCAACGACAGTGCAACAGGAGAGGCAAAACCTGGCGGACATTCTACTCAACACGATGCGCGCAGTCATCTGGAACAGCACCATGGGGGAACTACATTCCAAGGCCACACGGCGGCTGCAGCAAGATCTGAACCACAACGTGAAGACACTTGCAGCAGCCATCAAGGTCGTGGACTCCCAGCTGAAACAGTTGGACGCTCGCATTGCTACTCTGGAGGCAAGGCCTCCCCAAGCAGCGCCAGGCTGCACGACGGACGCGACGAAGCAGCTCAACGGGCGCATCGATCATGTCGTCAATCTCATCGGCGACTTAGGTGCTTTCACTGGGCCGGACACGATCAGTAGCACGGTGGCCGCCATCAAGACGGACATCACCAAACTGCAGACGAGACCGGACGCCGCTACCAAGAATTTCAAGATGCCACAGTTCACCATCAGCAAGTTCGACGACTACAACAAGACCGACGGTTTGACATGGTGGCAAGGTTTCCTCACGGAAGCATCCTGCCGCACTGTCCCGGCCGAAGACGTTGAAGGCGCTCTACCTACAACTGATTGGAAGAGCGCAGGCATGGATGAATCACCTGGCGGCTACCAAACAATGCACCATCGCCGAACTCCACACGCACATCACGTGGAAGGAGTTCGAGCAATTATGGGTCACTCAATTCATGGTCCGCAACGTCGTGAAGGCGGCCACGAACGAGGTGTACACTTGCTCACAGGGAAGTATGCCAACTCGAGACTGGACGATTAAGTGGCAGAAGATAGTGACCACGCCAGGCTTTGATTTGAGTTTTACAAACCAACGATCCGAGTTCTTCTCGTGATCGTGCGCAGGATTGCGGTCAACACTCGGCAACGAGTACGACTATACCTCGTTCCAGGTTATTCTGGATCGCACAAACCTGGTCATCCAAACGGACGACAAGGCCGCTAACGAGAAACAATCCCAGCCGCATTATGTGGATAAGCAGGGCTATCAACGACCGGCACATAACAATGTCGTGATTTCGGAAGAAACAGTCGATCTCCACGCTGCAGCAGCATCCTCGAGTGATGGAGGAAAGCAGCGCTCCCCCCGAAGCGTCCCAAGAGAGTTCGGAAGAACAAGGCGACACAAGAGACGGCATCGACAGGAACTGGGCAGCAGCCATGGACGGCATACAAGATAACCAAGGAAATCTACGACCTTCGTCAAAAGTACGGGTATTGCCTTTGGTGCAATGGGGTCACTCATTTGACTGCACACACACACACACACACACACACACACACACACACACACACACACACACACACACACATATGCATACATGCATTCAAAAAAAAAAAAAACGTTATCTTCCATGATATTTTTGTCAGAAGATGGTCGGAAATGAAGGCCGTGCTCATAAAATGCTGAGTGGTGTTGACCCTCGACGTGATGTGGTCCTCTCCCCTGAGGATTGAACGGGGGATTGAGTGCTGCGGTAGGATGTGGAGTTTTGATGGCGAGACGGTCCTCGTTTTATCCACCCTATTTTTCGTCCTATGGCACGACATCGGTGTAGGACAATAAAAAAGTTTTTTCGATTGTGAGGGGTACCCACACAAAAAAAAAGAAAAAAAAAACCCTTAGGTTCCTGTAAGGCTAACGAAATGCAATTTTTTGCTTGGTACTCACCCTGACCTTCCCCTTCGGCCAACGCTCCGATACTGGGACCAATCCTGGTTGGTTCCGTGATCATAGACTGGGAGGTGGTCCCGTTCACCAGTACTTAAGTATCGGTAAAGTAGTAATCTCTCCCTCTCTCGATAACGCGTAGCATCGAGGCGCCTGAATTCAATGTTGCTCATTGAGTCCACGGCCCCGCGTTCTCGCGCTATTGCAGTACCTATGGGGTGGAAGCGCTGATCTATCGTTGCT